GAGAGAGAGAGAGAGAGAGAGAGAGAGAGAGAGAGAGAGAGAGAGAGAGAGAGAGTCTCTGTGCACCTGGAAGTCATGGTGACCTCTGGTGCCTGATCCCTACTGGGGGCCTGGAGGATATTCAGGGAGGTGGCTGACCTGCCCCCGCCTCCCACCTCTGGAATTTCAGGGAGGTCTCCCATCCAAGTACTTGCCAGAGTCGACCCTGCTTAGCTTCTGAGATCTGATGAGATCGGGCTTGCCTGGGCTATCCAGGTCAGGGCATGAGCCAAGTTTCTGATTGGTTTACAGGTCCAAAACCATGTTGGATCCATTGGTCTTAAGTATTAGTCTTTTCAATTAGCAATTGGCAACTGGCAGTTCATGAGCAGCCTCCTGCTCCTTGACTTTGGGTGCGTTCCTTGAAACTTGCTTGATATGGATTAAACTCTGGAGAGAGTTGGACTGCATCTTGCAACTTTTATTCTTATTTTCAACCAACATCTTACTGTGTAGTTAGTCAATTATAAAGTAGCTTTCTTATTTTTGATTCCTCACTGCTTATTCTTTTTGAAATATTCTTGCACACTTTTAATACATTTATTTTAATTGTATTTGTAGTATTTGTGTTCAAGTGGCTTCAATCCTAATTCCATTTCCTAGGCCAAGTGCTTGCCTACCAGGTTAATTGTTTTGTGGAAACTCATTACCTTGCAGGGCTGACTTTCTTGTTTAGTTCCCAGAAAGTTAGAAGCTCGCCTCTTGGCTTCTGACTTTTGGGATAGAAAGGGGGCTGCTGGCTGTTTACAAGACTGGTGTGTGAAGGTTTGTATTGCCAGGGTTTTGTAATCTTGTGTTCTGCAGCCCCATAATGCAAACACTGTTGAACTAGGGGTTTGTGGCACTGAGAACTTTCTGTCAAGATGCATGCTCAGTCTCTGCATCTTCTCTCTCTTTTTCCCTCAGGTAAAATCCTATTCAGGAGAAGTCATATTCGAGATGTAGCTGTGAAAAGACTAAAACCTATTGATGAATACTGCAGGGTAAGAATAATTTTCTTCTTAGACGGATGACAGCAGAACATAGTAAGTGATGATCGGCTAAGCATAATTACAAGGGAACAAGTCTAGGGGAGCAAAACACTTTTAGGTTACAGTTGTCAGAGCCTGTCACACAAAAAAAAAGATGCCCCCTGGATGGACTACACTGAATGATTCCTTCTTGCAGAGACCCATGAAAAGTAAGGGAAAATGAACAAGTAGCTTATCCTTCATAATAAACACCTTGAATTTCAGAGTCAGGTAGAAATGACTGTAATAATACAGCTAACTTTGAGTCCAGTAGCGCCCTTGAGAACAACATTTTGAGGTATACGCTTTCGAGAGTCAAAGCTCCCTTTGTCAGATAATAATATAATCAGGGGTCATTTTGTAGAAAAAGAGGTGCAGGAGCTTATTAGCATAACTCATGAGCATAACTTATTTGCATATGCCACACCCCCTGACATCACTGGAAGTGTGTCAGAAGGCAACACCCACCACTCAGACTCCACTGGACTTTTTTGGATTGCTAGCTATGGGGGGGGAACGCCCAGATCTTTGCAGGAAGGAAGGAAGGAAGGAAAGGGAAGGAAATAAGGAGGTAAAGAGGGAAAGAAAGAGAAGGAAAGAAGGAGGGAAAGATGGAAAGGAGGGCTGCTTCTTGCTCCTCATGGCCCAGGGCTGCTGGGAGCAAGGGGTGGGGCTTGTTGCATGTGCCCGCCCCCTGGGCTCTTTACTGCCGGAGCTCCGCTCCTGTGCGTTCCTGCAGGAAATGACCCCTGAACAGATTTTTATTTAAATGAGGTAAAAATATTTTGTCCCTGTGACAGCTCATTAGTTCTCTGTGCTAGTGATCTCAGATATCCCAGTCTATTAAAATATATTCCTCAGTTCTGTATATGAATATTTTGCAAAAGAATTCTTTCAAAAATATTTCTTGTATTATAAATTATATGGATTCTGTGTCTGGCCAGGCATGTGTTCTCATCCAGCATTTTTTATAGTGACATGAAAAGAGACTGTTCCATAGGTTCACCTGTCCTATAGCGATTTATAAGTCAAAGCACAAACTGAAAGCTGGGGGAAATCATGGACCATGAGTTGACTATCCAGATCCATTGATGTAAAGCTGTTGGCTGCCGCATTCAACATAAACTGCAGCACTGGGGGTGGGGGGTTGCTGTCAAGTAACAGCTGACTTATGGGGACCCCATAGAGTTCACAAGGTAAGAGATGTTCAGACGTAGTTTGCCATTGCCTGGCTCCACATCATGACCCTGGCATTCCTTGATGGTCTCCCTTCCAAACAGTAGCCAGGGCCAACCCTGCTTAGCTTCCCAGATCTGACAAGATCGGGCTAGCCTGGACAGGTTTATTTTTGTTATTCAGTTGCACAGTCGAGTCCTACTCTTCACGACCCCATGGACCACATCACGCCAGGCCTCCTTGTCTTCTGCTGTCCTCTGGACAGTTTACAAAGGCCTAATTCCCTTTGCATTACACAACGTTTAAAAAAGTCACTTAGGCTGCAATCCTGTGCACACTTACTGGGGAATAAATAATTTTGGACTCTGTGGGACTTGCTTCCCAATAAACATAGATTTGGGCTACATGTCTTCTAACTCAGTCCTGTGATGGTGCTTTCACTCCAGAGTATAATTGATATAATTAGGTTTGATTCTTGTTTCAGGTGGTCTTTTAGAAGAACATGAAACAAATCTCTTAGCATCCTAATTATAAGAACAAAGAGTTTGTTAAAAGAGCAGCCAGTCAATATTAAATGTACTTGTGAATGCTCCACTAAACACGGTTGTATAGAGGCAATTACAGTGACATTTACAGTTGCTGACTTAATGAGGATCCAGTAGGGATTCTAAAATTAGTTCAGCATATCCCACCCCCCAACCAGTAGGTTGAGAAAACAATGCTGTAGAAAGCATACTGATAGCTGCTTTCAGCAGACTTTTAAGAGCCTGAGACATAAAGAGGCCTTGATTTTGCACCCTCTAAACAAAACTAAAATCTTATCTTATGAGATCAAGCTTTCTGTGGAACAATTAATGTAGTGTTTGGCAAATGAAAGCCTACTGGTTATCTGTAAACATGTGCACCCACACTGCAGACTTCACATTAATTGTACAGGCAGGAACTGTGTAAAACATGTGCACAAGAAATAATGTCATGGGTTCACTGAACAGAAGTATTGCTCAGAAAGCAGGAATTCACTCCAAGGGTTATGGGGTAACCTCTGACCCCCAGAAACCATAAGCTGGTTACTTATCTGAGATGCAATTGTTAGCAAGCAGACAGTCCATTACTGGATGAGGGTATGTCTGAGGAATTGTTATATTAATGGTGGGCTGCACTGATAAACCAAACAATAGCAATCTAACCAACAAAACTAAGCATACAAAACGAACAAATTTACAAGAGTGACTGAAAGTTCACTGGAAAGTGCCATCAAGTCACAGCCAACTTATGGTGACCCTGTAGGGTTTTCAAGCCAAGAGACATATGGGCTGATTTCGCACTAGAGCTGCCTCAATGTTGCGCCGCCGTTTGCCCCAATACTATCGGTCAATTTCACACCCGAAGCCGCGGGGCTGCATTTTGACTCACGGCTTCGCCTGATTTACCCCCGCAGTTTTGTGATCCTGTTTTTTGAGGATCACGAAACTGCAGAGGAAATCGGGTGAAGCCACAGGTCAAATGCAGACCCGCGGCTTTGGGTGTGAAATTGACCAATAGTATCGGGGCAAACGGCGGTGCAACATCAAGGCAGCTCTAGTGCGAAATCAGCCTCAGTGTTGGTCTGACATTGCCTGCCTTTGCATAGAGGCCCTGGACTTCCTTGGCTGTCTCCCATCCAAATACTAACCAGAGCCGGCCCTGATTAGCTTCTGACATCTGACAATATCGGACTAACCTGGGCCATCCAGGTCAGAGCAGAGGTCTGTCACCCAAGTCAAACCCAACTCTGCTCTACTTAGGCTGAGAAGTTTTCAGCTGCTGCTTGCACAAATTCTTGAGTAATATGACTTGTCTCCAAAGAAACCAGTAGTCTCTGAAAGGAGCAAGATGTGAATGTCCTCGAGTCTCTTTCATGCCATGTATTTTAGGAAAACATGCAGAAAATTTGTGTTAAGGATATTAAAATTTGTGTTAAGGATAACCATGCCATGAATCA